CATAATCTATAAACTAAAATTTCAGAATCGATGAACTACAATTCCATAATCGATGAACTATAATTCCATAATCAATGAACTATAATTCCATAATCTATGAACTAAAATTTCAGAATGAATGAACAATATAATGTTGTTGTTGGGAATCGAACCTGAATTTTTTTTAAAGGGGAAACGCGCGTTTTTTAATAAAACGACATCGTTTTGGCATCCGTATGCACCATGTGCACCATGCATGGTGCATACGGATGCACAGCATAACGACTACTTCACATCAGGCTTTTAACGTCGGCTATTTAGACCCTTTAACGTCGAGTAAAAAGCGACGTTGTATAGAAATCATACGACGTCGGCTAATTAAATAGCCGACGTTATATATATTTTTATATTTAATTATTAAATACCTACAACGTCGGCTATTAATAAATAGCCGACGTTGTAGGTATTTTTTAAAAAAAATATACATACAAAGTCGGCTATTACTAAATAGCCGACGTTTTAATGTATTTTTTTTAAATATACATACAACATCGGCTTTTACCATATAGCCGATGTTGTATGTTTTTTTTTTAAATATATCGTTTATTTATCCATTTATACCCAAAACCTGCTCAAATTACTCACAACAACATCCAAAACCTGCTCAATTATTGCATCGCAACCACATCAAAATATGTAGAATCTAATATTTAAAAGCTCACAAGTAATAAAAGTAATAAATCTCACTATTTGATACTAATTAATAATACAAGTTAAAATTATCAACCTAAGATCAATTATATTACTTCACATATTTAACAATACAGCAACTAAGAAGTCGACCCATACGTCTCTAACTTGATCAATCTCTTGTTGACTGTTGCTCAATCCACCAACTCTCTCAACGATCTACAAAGTTGAAAATTAATAAATAATTAGTAAGCTAGCATTTTTAAAATTAGAATGAGAAAGGTATTTTATTAAATTATTACATGCCTTATTCATTCCTCCGCATGCTTCTTTGGAAAGAATTTCAAGGATGTATTTCATAACATAATATCCACATTCGGTACTTCCAACTTGTTGGGCACACTACATTTGAATTGATTTACATTTAAAATTTTATTTAATAAAAAACAATAAAATAAATGTAGTTTTACAAATGTTTAAAATACTTACAAAAACATTAATCCATTTTGGTGAACGAGTTGATGTCTTGCATCTCAACAACTTTGTTGATTGCACACACCTAAAATTATAAGAGATTAGTATGCATAAATACTTTATTACATCATACTTTATTATTAATAACTATTAATACTTATAAGTTCACATACGTTTCAACTATATCTTTAATGTCATCACGTGGTTCGCCTCCAATGGAATCAAACAAATATATTTCATTAACTTGAGGACAAATTGCCATCAACATCCAATGGTCACAACAAATAAATAATGTATTAGTTGTAAGTAAATATAATATATAATAGATGTATATTATAATAAGTTATTTTATTTGAAACAATTAAAACTTACTTTAAAACATATGGGGCTAAATAACATTGTTTCTGTCCATATTGCATGGTGATGTTTATATACCATGTCCGTTCATCTATAGTATCCGATACTGGTTTAATATAATATGGATCTAAGAAGCCATATGTGGTCTTTGATGCCAATTCAAATTTTTCATAAGGACCCCTATTCAAAAATACAAGCAATCATATATATTAGTAATATAATAGATGAAATGAAAGATACTATAAACAAATAATAGTAAAGAACTTAATTATTACCTTATAAAGAACTGCAATATGGAAATATCTAACGTCTCCATTCTTAAGAAACACATAATCTCCAACGGCTCCAAATATAAAGTATATTCAACATCGCCCACAATACCTCGACACATATTTATCACAATATTTTGATCGAGTTTGCGAACAATTTTATATGCCTTTAGACATAGAGGACTCAAAGAAGTCGGATCAGCTTAGTCAAATCAACAGAAGGTTGTTGCACACCGGATTCATAAGTCATTTTGGACTTTCTTTTTAACTGTTCAATATAAGTAACAATTACTATTTTTAAAAATTAAATTAAATAGTATTTTAAAATCCAAAAATTTAAAAAATACATACCTCATCAGCTTGGGTATATAACTCAACCAACTTCTTTGCCCAAATAATAAAGTTATTCATTGCATCCCCTAAAAGCTGAACCTCATCGGTAGGGAAGGGTACCTTTACCCTTGAAACAAAAATTTCATCCACGCTTACCTTCACTTGATCTACATGTACTTGTATCCCGTGAACCCTTTCGACTTGTAAACAGTCCCACGTGCCACTTTACGTCTAATGGGATCTTCCAAATATAACTCGCATTGTGCTCATAACTGCATGAATTCATATTTAAAAATAGCTAAGATGTTTTAAATAAATAATAATAATATTAGCTATAAATAATTACTTACGGCCGGTAAATCAACAAAAGGGTCTAGAGAACTAGCTTTTTCACTATGACAGTGTGGTTCGACATCTACACACATGTCACCCTCCCGCCTTGATTGTACAGGTTGAGCCGTTGGAGCCTTCATACTACTAAATTCATTCCTCATCGCTTGGATGGTTGCATGCGTGGTTGCTTGCATGGATGCTTGTAATTCCTCTTTTTGAATTGCTAACGCCTCTTGCACTTTCATCTCTTAATTGGCTAACACCTCAGCAACTGCAACCTTAATAATTTCGTTAACTTCTGGTGTAGGCATCTGGCTTTGACGCCGTTTTACATTACCAAAGTAGCTTTTTAAGCCATGTCCTCTACCCATGGCTCTAACATGTCCACCAGTACCTATGGCATTAGACCATATATCTTGTTTACCAGACTCAACAAATTCTCCTTGAGAACAAATTCTCCTTGAGAAGCTTGCAATGCGAGAGAATCCTAACATATAAGGTGGCACCCATCTTCTTAGCTTTGGTATTAGTACCTTGGGTGGTACTATCAATAGTGGGATCATTTGATGAATCCATATGCCTGTTTAGCAAAGAAATTATTAGTGAATGACAAAAGAATAATATACATAAATATAAATGTAAATATTTAGATATAGTAAACACAAGAAGAAGTTAAAACATTACAAGTAATAATCAATTCTCCTATAACCCTTCATGATGATCATCCTGTGATGCATGCACTTCATCTATCTCATTACATATAATAACTGTCAATAAACTTGAAGAAAAAGGTGGTATTTCTTCAATATCAAAACTAACATCTTCATTCCCATCACCAGTAATTTGTCTCTTTCCATGAAGAACAACTTACCATTTTTTTATCACAAGGATCAGTAACATAAAATACTTGTTTTGCTTGAGATGCCATTATGAATTGCCCATTTTTGTGACCTTCCCTGTTCAAATCTACAAGTGTAAACCCTAACTCATCATCTTCATTTGCTTCGGTGTCAACATACATGTTAGATGTACTAGTCCATCCTCCTCCTTCACCGTGCCATATCCATTTTGTATAATTTGGATTAATTCCATCACAAATTAGATGATCATATATGTCCCTTGCACTTAATGTTTTTATATTACAACACTTCTTACGAGGACAAAATAACATTGCATCATTATTTGGAAGATGACGTTTTACAATGTCTATAAATTCTCTAACTCCGGCTGCATATTCCGTACTCAACCGAACTTCTCTTATCAAATTGTAAGAACTTTGCATCTTATTTTTGCAATTAAGGCAATGGATTGTTCCAATTGTTTTCCCATTCACACCCTTAAAATTTGAAAGTTTCAAGTTTAACTTTGAAATAAGAAATTAAGTAGTATGTCTCAATAATCGCAAAGCATCGCATTAAGTATTATGTCTCAAGAACTTCCTTTGATTTGTCCAATATATGTTAATTAAACCACACTACATATGACCCTTACAAGAAAGCCTTTAGTTTCTCATTCCAACTCAAAATAATTCAAAAAATTATAAAAAGAAATTAAAGAATCATGCTAGTCTCTCCTTCATCGAAATAATTCAAAACAAATCCGAAAAATACATTAATAAATCAATACATCAATAAATTTATTACTTGGGTCACTTGAAAATACATCAATAATTCAAAATAAACCATAAAATACAAATATATCAACATTATTTATTAAAATTCAATCTAAATTAAAATTAAATTTGAAATAAATTAATAATAATTAAAAAAATAAAAAACTAAAAATAAAAACTTACCTGCAGTGCGGCGAAAGCAGAAGGCGGTGCAGTGCGGCCCTTTGTCGACGGTGCAGTGCGTCCCTTTGTCGGCGGTGCGGTGCGGCTCGTCTGCTGCTTGTCTGTGTGTGGCGGAGTAGCGGCGGAGACCTCGGAAAGAAGGGTGTGGCGCTGGGTGATGGCGGAGCGACGTCAACATCGTCGGTGGCTGTGCGTCGGCGGTGGGGAGAAGGGAGAAGGACATCGTTGGGTGGGAGAAGCTAAGGGAGAAGGGCGTCGTTGGATGGGAGAACGGATGAAAATGAACGCTGAGATCTGTTTTTAAAAACTATATAACGTTGGCTATTAAGATATAGCCGACGTTATATATGGAATATTAAAAAAAAAAAAAGTAACAAAATAATCTATGACGTCGGCTAAATAGATAGCTGACGTCGTAGTATACTTAATTTTTTAAATTTTTTTATTAAATATTTATAACGTCGGCTATTTTCTAATTGCCGACGTTACATGTTTTATAAAAATACAAAAAATACAAAAAGGCTTTGACGTTGGCTATCTATATAGTCGACGTTAAATGCCCGACGTTATATGTGAATTCTGTAGTAGTGGTGACTAGTGATTACTAGAAGCTCTTGTTCCCTGGGGATTTTTTGGGAGAAATCAAGTAAATCGTAAACCCTAGGTTTATATACTTTGTTTTATGAAATGTGTTGTGATATTTTGTGATATGTGATCAATATTTGCTGATATATTGCAATATATTATGACATTAGGGTGGAAGTAGGGTTAAATCATAAACCCTAGTTTTATATACTTTGTTTTATGAAATGTGTTGTGATATTTTGTGATATGTGGTCAATATTTGCTGATATATTGCAATATATTATGCCATTAGGGTGGAAGCAGTGTTAAATCGTAAACCCTAGGTTTATATACTTTGTTTTATGAAATGTGTTGTGATATTTCGTGATATGTGGTCAATATTTGCTGATATATTGCAATATATTATGCCATTAGGGTTTAAGCAGTGTTAAATCGTAAACCCTAGTTTTATATACTCTGTTTTATGAAATGTGTTGTGATATTTTGTGATATGTGGTCAATATTTGCTGATATATTGCAATATATTATGTGTGACACCCCGTATTTTCTAAAAATAAATTATAGTCCTGATATTAAGTATTTTAATAAAAATATTTATATAGTTATTTATTTTAAAACGGGCTCGGGTCTACCTATTATGGTGAACCAATATTTTTGTACAAAATATGCCTAGACCCAAAATGGTTTTAATTTTCTAAAAGCCTAGTAATTGTTCTTGAGCCCAAATATATGTGTAACCTATGAGTGAGTAATTTTGGACCCATCATCTACACCAAGCCTTAATATATATATATATATATATATATATATATATATGTGTGTGTGTGTGTGTGTGTGTGTGTGTGTGTGTGTGTGTGTGTGTGTTATTTTGTGAGCCCAAAGTGTTTAAACCCAACCTATGATACCCAACCCAAGCTTTTGACCCAAGTCTAACTTAGCCCACTCATTGAGTAACCCTACTACCTATAGTGTGTATGTTTGTATTGTATCATCTCATCTTAGAACTTCTACCCTCAGCAGCCAAACACCCCCCAGCTTTCGCTGTTTCCCCTCTTCTTCTGCATGGCCGAAGAGTTCAAGCTCCATCTCCGATCCGGTGACATCACGTGAAACGCAGGTGAGCTGGTTGGACTTCCGGTGGTGTCCGACACGGCAATGGATTAGCAGCCTCGGCATTCTCCTCCCTCAAACAGAGCTATGTAGAACAACGCCTGGTGGTCCTATCTCGTCTACGGAAACAGCAGAAATGGAGAACAACTCCATTGGCTTGGTCCTCTTCCGGTGGAGTTTCGACGGACGGTGGTCAAAGGCAATGTCTCTCTCGCTCTCTCCCTTCGCTCCCTATTTCCGGCAAAGGAGAACGATGGCACGTAGCATCTTTTCTTCATCAGCATCAAGCTCTCCGGCGAACCTTCTCCAGCAGCGGCATAGTGTTTTCCTTCTCGGCGGGTTCGACAGAGCTCCGTGTGGTGGCTGTGATCCTTCTACGGCGACGTGGTTGCGCAGATGGTACCCGCGGGCAGAGGATGGGGTTGTGGTGTGCCCGCCGCACCACCCGCGGCTCGGTTGCATAAAGAAGGCGAAGAAGAAGCGTGGTGAGCTTTGGCTGTGGTTGTTGTTGTTTAATTAGCTTAATTAGTTTGTTGTTTAGTAAAGTTACTAATAGGTTGCTTAGTCTAGTGGTAAGGGTGTGTGTTGGTTATGGGGAAGGTATGTGTTTGAATTTTTACCTTTAGCATGTGTTTAGTTTTGGATAGTTGTTAATCAGCAAGTAATTATGTTGCTTAGTACCATATCGTTAAAATAGGATTAGTGTAACAAAGAGAAGCTTAGTTTATATGGTAAGCTTGTGGGTAATTTATGGTTGAACTAGAGTTCAAATCCCTTTATGAGCATAATTAGTTTTATTAGTACTTTTGTTAATAGTTGAGATCCGGTTTAATTCTCAGGTTTCCGTTTGGCTTATGAGTTGAGCCTAGCCTAAGTTGGCGTTGTTTTTGGATGTTAAGCGAAAGAGGTAACCCATGCTCTACAAAATCTATTTTGCTTACCTATGTGATGATTTCTTGGATTCTACATGTGTTTTGCAATGAAATGTGAGTGTTTATGCATTGTCTTGTGAAAATGCATATCTAGAGCTTGTGTTTAGGGTTCATGTATGCCATTGCCTGGCTATTCCTTTGATTCAAGTCATTTTGTTGTATTTGGTGAGATTTGGCATGTTTTGGACTTGAATTTGAGCTTGGATTTGGAAATCCCCGAAGGGATTATTTTGGTGTACAGGTACGTACCCGCGGGTGGAACAGCAGGCAGTGGCCTACACACTGCCCACCCGCGGGGTACAAGTTGGTCGTGGGTGTGTACCCACGGGCGGAACCACGGGTGGGGGCCTACTCGTGGGCCCACCCGCGGGGAACATGCTGGTGTTGTTGAGGGATTTGTTCCCCGTGATTCTTTTGACTCGGTATTTGGTCTTTTGACTTCCCAATGTTCTTTTGTGGAACTATTTGAGCGTCTTCTTGATGTTTCGTATGTCTAGAACTATGTGGTAGGTATCCATGTAGGTTTTGGTGTCTTGAATCGTGCTAAGTGTTCAACATTGTGATTCGTTGAACCGTGATGAGTCTTGTGTGTTCTTCGGAACTACGTTTGGTTTACCCGTTTGATAAGCATGCTAGTTCGGTGTTTAAATGCTAGCGTGTGTGTTGGTTGTACCTTCCTATTGTTGATGATAACTTGTGTTATTCATCGTTGTTGTTAGACTGTGATCCATTCCTTGATTGAGTATGGTTTCATATCTTCGTTGTGATCTGTTGCTTAATTCTTGTTGAGGTGTGGTGTGTGTGGCTGTACCTGGATTGCACGATTAGTGGTCCTCGTGGTGGCCATGACGTGATTATGGAGTGTGTGGCCTTTGTGTAAGGTTCACGTATTTCTTGGGTGGCATGTGTTGCCGTGTGTGTGATCGGTACCCTTGTGTACTATGAAATCAGTGGTTCTGTTGGAGGGACTGTTGGAGGGGGAACGATGATTCCCGGGGGAATAAGGTTGGACTTGGTATACAGGGGTCCTAGAGATAACAGTTGGAACTAGACATAAGGTTAGGGGTTAGCCATAAGGTTGGAACCGGACATAAGGAAGGCATATCAATTCGTGATGAGTGATGTCACGAAGGCTTGTGTAGCTGTTGTTGTGAGCTCTCTTCTTGTGACGTGTGTAGTCACAAAGGCATGTGTTGCCATTGGTTGTGTCCTTATTCTTTTGAGTTATGCATGTCGAGTGTTAATCTACTGTGTGATGGTAGATTATACCTTGAGCCGTCCTTGTGAGTCGTTGTTGTTCTTTGGGGTCTTAGGATGTGTTCCCTTATCTTCGTTGTGAGTGCTTAGAGTCTTGTGTTGACTTCTGCTCTTGGTTTTGAACTTATATATATATATATATATATATATATATATATATATATATATATATATATATATATATATATATATATATATATATATATATATATATATATATATATATTCCGTTTCGCAAATGATTTTATATACGTATATCCTATCTATGTATGATATTTCACATGTATTGGTGGGTTACCAGCATTATTCGCTGACCGGGCGTCGTCCTATTTCTATTTGTTGCTTTACAGGTTGGGTAGCTTTGGAGAGCATGCTAGTGGCCTGTAGATAGATTTTATCTCTTCCTTTATTGGTTGTTGAGGCCTGTGAGCCTAAGTAGTTGATTTGTTAGACTGCTGTAGTTGTAGTATCTGCCTGTACACCTATGTTTGTTATAGGTGTGGCATAGCACCTTCCGGTTTGTTTAGTTAGCTTCCGCCTTGTTTAATCTTAATGAGTAGACTTTATCCCTTTTCTAAGCTTTAATTGGTTTTAAAAGTTTTTGAAAATCGGGGGTGTTACATTATGCCATTAGGGTGGAAGCAGTCTTAAATCGTAAATCCTATTTTATATACTTTGTTTTATAAAATGTGTTGTGATATTTTGTGATATGTTGTCAATATTTGTTGATATATTGCAATATATTATGCCATTAGGGTGGAAGAAGTGTTAAATCGTAAATCTTAGTTTTATTTACTTTGTTTTATGAAATGTGTTGTGATATTTTGTGATATGTGGTCAATATGTGCTGATATATTGTAATATATTATGCCATTAGGGTGGAAGCAGTGTTAAATCATAAACCCTAGTTTTATATACTATGTTTTATGAAATGTGTTATGATATTTGGTCAATATTTGTTGTCATATTTCAATATATTATGCCAATATGCCATTACGGTGGAAGTAGTGTTAAAGAGTTTGAGAAACCGATTTGTGATTTTTGATTTCTGCCTTGTGAATCTTGTGAATACTGTGCATATTTTGAAATGTCACTTAAAGATTTAAAGGCTTGAAAAATGTTGAAATTTCCATTTATTGGTGGAAGTCCTTAACTGAAATCCAGATAATGATGAACTGAGTACGATTCCTGAAACTGGGTTTCTTTGTAATGTAAATATGTAATATGTAATATGTTTATGGATGTACGACCCTTAAATGCCCTTAACTGTTTGTAATATAAATATGAAATCTTGATAAATGATAACACAAACAAGTTGTAACACCCCCGATTTTTGGCATAATTTAAAACATTTTAAGCTTAATACATACGATAAGATCTAATCATTGATACCAAAATAATGCGGAAGCAAAACATAATATTCGCGGATGTTATGCCACACCTAAGCTAAGAACTTAGATGCACAGGCTACTAAACAACAAAACATAATCCAAAGGTAACATCTGCTTAACATAGTGGCTCACAGGCCGTCATACTAAAGCTAGTACTAACTAAAACTAGGAACCACGGCTCCGTTTAGCGCGCTCTCGAATCAACTAGTCTGTACCTGAAAAACATATGGTGTAGCAATCGTTAGCGAATAATTCCAAGTAACCCACTCCCACGCGTTGAGTACATTAAGTATAGATATAAGAAAATCATTTCGAGACTTGGGAATACATAGATATAGTCTTAACAACTCTAGCTTTAAAATCAGAATATAGACTCATTGGGGAATACACTCATCAGCATAACCAAATTCATGACATACCAATAAACTTGACACGATAAGACAACAATAGGATACAAGGATAACAAACAGTGACCACATTACACATTCCATGCTCCAACCTTATGCCAAGTTCCAACCTTATAACACTGCTCCATCCTTATATCTGTTCTAACATGTACCTCCGAGACCACCCTGTACACCAGTCCAACCTTATCCCTCCAGAGCAATGCTCCTTGCCTGCTTTTCATAATCATAATCGTAATTGCACGCAACGCAATAACATAAGCACAGCCAGTGCATCATCATAGGCACCGCAGCGCCATAACATAAGTACCGAAGTACATCATTGTAAGCACCGCAGTGCATCATCCGCCAATCATTCTGAGCACGCATCTCATTACCACCAATCTTAACACATTCATCATACATGGACATTATCATAACATTCAAGATGATCATATTACTCATAAGAAACATCATAGACTTTACTTTAATCCAACGACTCAGGTTCAATCTTATTATTTTTAGCCCGTTTAGTAAGAAGTCTCTTAGAAAATTTAGAAGCCATAACATACATGAATTCCTCAAGCACTTCCACTCTAACACCCCTGATTTTGAGCATAATTTAAAACCGTAAAAGCTTATGAAATAAAGGCAAGATTATTACTAATACCCAATAAGAGCGGAAGCTAAACATCAGAGTCGGGGTGGTATGCCACATCTAAGCTAAAGAACCTATATGCACAGGCTAAACTAACTAAACAAAGTATAATCTATAGTCATTATCCGAATACAAGCACGGCTCACAGGCCGACTAACTAAACTAATACTAACTAAGCCAGGAACCGCAGTGTTACAAACCATGCGTCAGCAGAGGAACATGCACGTGGCAAGAGATGCATAAGACCTCCTAGCAAACTAAAAGACTATATTTGTTCCTAATATGTCTAGTGCTGACAGATTCTTATTTCTGTTTTTCATTTTTATTATTTTACATGTGGTTAAGCAATAATGTAGGCTTCTTGGTAGGAATTCATTTGTTGTGAGTACGGTATAAATGGTGTATCCCGCATCAAAGAGAGCATGAAAGAAATGTATTAACTTCCTTCCCTTAAACTCTGGTTCTCTCTTCTCCCACTAAGCTTTTTCTTGTCTAGAGGCCTTCCACCCTCGAAAGTGGAAAAACCTTTGCAACTTATATCCATCAACCTCACAGTTTACATCCACCACCTAACAATTTGGTGCTCTCATTGAGAATCATTATGGCTCATGATGGAGTACAGACTCGATATCGGTTATAAGAAGAACAAGTCCAACAAATGCGTGAAACCCATCAGCAAACCACAGAAGAATTACGCCAAGCATTGGCAGAACAAACCTAGGCCACCAAAGACATCCAAACTGCCATGAAAGAACTGACAGTTTGTGTCACAAAACAGCACATTGGTCCAGCTGCTTCTTCCTCATCCCCACTAGTACCAACAACGCCAATCCGTTCAGGACCACTTGTGGTAAACCAGCCTAGTAGTATGCAATGTTCTCGATCGCTCAGGTGCGACATAACTTCCTTTGATGGAACCAATTTATTAGATTGGGTATTTCAAGCAGAGAAATACATTAGCTTCTGGGAGATAGCAGACGAACAACGAATCGACATTGTCGGATTCTACATGGTGGGGCAGGCACTATCATGGTTCCAATGGATGCACAAGAACTAACAAGCTCCTCTTGGAGAGCATTTACGACTGCTCTAGAACAACGATTCGGGCCGTCGACCTACGTCAACCACCGCGCCTCGCTTTTCAAACTAACTCAAAGAACAACATTGGAGGCTTACCAATCTGAGTTTGAGATGAAAAGCAACCGGGTTATCGATCTTCATCCAGATGCCTTATTGGATTGTTTCATCTTCGGCTTAAAACCTACAATCCAGAATCAGTTAGCTATCCTCAAACCCACGACCTTGTCAGACGCCATAGCCTTGGCGAAGTTAGTTGAGGAAAAGCTTCTTGATACAAGGCCTCTACATCCACGTCCCAACACTTGGAGATCGCTTAGTTCTAAGACTGGCCATTCTCCCGCCCATCAGCCAGTTGATCCGACTCAATTATTGCTGAAAAAGCACGTGAGTCTTGAATGCAAGATTTAGCTTAAGAGATTAATTTTATTTCAATTATAAAGCTGGACTAGATGCAACCCTACTCCAGGTATGATAAAGAACATAAAATAGATAGCAGTAAAAGAAAGCATGCACCAAGAAATGTTCACGTAGTTCAGAACCTCACTCCTACGTCTGCGGGGCCACTCACATCAACCCAAATCCACTATGATAAAAGGAGTACAAGAGGAGAGTTAATTACACACTAAAGTATAACCTATAACTACTCCAGAGCCTACTACAGTGGATCCGATGTGCAGGCGATCTTCATTGCTTCATAATCTGATTACGGGCATTTCTTCACACTCAATAGTACAGAATATACTTGGAATAGATGAACCAAGAATTTCAGAGTAAAATCATGTGAAAGCGTGTGTGGAAAATGCTAACCAAAGTAGCATTTTATATAGGTAGTAAAGGATCCTTCAATCCACAAATCAAGCACTCTTTCTATCCTTGATTTCGGCTGCTCCAATTTATTTAGATTTCCTCCATGATAGGGTCTTGACTGAAAAATAGATTTGAAGAAGTTTCATACCTCCTGGATTACTTTCTTACGCTGATCCAGTCAACTACACCAGACTTTATGACCAATCCAGCTACTAATCCAGAACTACTGTGGCAACTAATCTAAGCCAATAATAAGAGGTTTAAACGTGCAATATTTTTACACTTACAATCTCCCCCTTTGGCTATTTGTTGACAAAACTACCAAAAGGATCTCAACGGCTTTAAAAACAAAACAATTACCAGATGATAAAAACGATATAATTTTGAAAAGCGGATTAGTCACTAGTCAGGAGTAGCTAGACACACACCCTTCTTAGACTTAACCAATGATGTGCCAGAGAATTCAAACACACTTAGAGCATACAAGCACATAGAGAATTAAAACATAAAACACATATATTTCACATAGGGTAACCTCTTAGCATTTATCACAGAGTCAAAGCAAGACATGCAAAAACTTATGAAGTAACTACACATTACTAGAAGAGAGAGCAGATAACACACCACATTTATTCACTAACAAATAGCACACCACATTTATTCACTGGCACTCATGGTAAGTTCACAAAAAACAACACTCCCTGTAACACCCCAGATTTTCAAGACTTTTTAAAACTTATAATAAAGGTAGAACCTCATTAAATCCCAAGAAATAAATACAAGCGTACGGGGTGCTATGCCACACCTGGGCTGGAGAACCCAAATGCACAGGCTAACTAACTAATATCCTCAAAGCGAAATTACGTCAACGTGGCACGCAGGCCAAAAGGGAAAACTATCTACTTCTATACTCCAAGTTCTAGCGCGCTCCAGTGACTTAATCTTCTGTGCCTGAAAGCCAAATATATCTGTTCAGCGAGAGATGCTGGTAACCCACTCCAACGCGTTGAAATACAATACATATAGAGATATATATAGATATACGAAAACCATTTTGAGCATGAAGATATATCCTACGAACTCTAGCTTTAAAACCGGGAATGACTCGACAGATAAGGCCAGACACAAGCAACAGTTATAACGAGCATATGCAGTTCACAACAGATAAGGCAGATAAGGCAAAGCATAAACAATGATCATAACCCAACATGAACAATCCCCAATATAAATCCCATAGTCACATCCCCCAAGACACTCGTAATCACAACTCGTCCATGTCACAACACATAACACACTTTGTTGGCGCCACAGGACCAATCGCATGCCCATACATGAGGGTCAGCGCATATAGCTCTGACATGGCCCCGCAGCACCCTGCCCCGTATCGCAACACGGAGGGGTCGATCGCAACCGACCGATGAACCGCAGCTCATCATAGTGTTTGATCGCAACCAAACAGTGGACCGCAGCCCAAGAGAATGTCATCTGACCGCAGCCAGGAAAAAGGACGAACCGCAGCTCGTATAGAAACGTTTGATCGCAACCAAACGGTGGACCGCAGCCCAAGAGTATCAATCTGACCGCAGCCAGCTTCTGAACCGCAGCTCAG